CTTGGAAAATTTACATATCATATTAAAAAGAAAAAATACGTGTCATTTTTTTTCCTTTCTAGAACGAGAAAAAAAATTTTCAGGCGAATCAAAATTTTGATTGTAAATCTGATATGGAATGACCCATATATAATATAATAACATAGTATATTGTAGTAAACGCAATCTTAAATCTAATCAACGCTATATCTAATAAACGCTATATCTAATACCTAATAAACGTCGCCTTGCCTCCGACTATCCTGGCTTCCACAGTCGCATGTTCGCCGTCTCCCATGTACCGCAGTAGGGAGTATTTGTTAATTGGTGATTTTCTACATCGGCTAACACATAACGGTCGTTTCTTAAAACACGATTTACTTGGTAGGGTCCTTTGTAACGTGGAATTAACTTTTGCGATGACCCGGGAGTACAATCAAAATTTCGAACCATCACCTTGTCACCTACCTCGTACTTCCTCGTACTTTTATGCTTTTTATCGTAAGCGCGCTTGTTAGTTTCTTGATCTTTCCGGATTTGCTCGTCGGCTTGATTTCGCACTTCTACTAAATCGCGTGATACATTGATATTTTCGCTCGTTTCTAACGCATCCGGCAATTCATCCACCGCATTTCCTCGCTGGCGTATTCCGAAAAGTAGTACGCTTGGACACTCGTCAGTGGCTCTCGATACAGTATTGTTACAGGCAAACTCTACATCCTCAAGGACATTGTACCAGTGAGTGTTTCGCTCATCAGCTAACTTCGCTATCATTGGCAAAATCGTACGGTTGTATCTCTCGACCTGACCATTCGCTTGTGGCGACGCGGTAGCAATCTTAATGTGCTGAATATTGCACTCGCTTATAAACTCTTCAAACTCTCGAGACGTAAAACAGCTACCTCGGTCCGAGACGATACGTAATGGGCGGCTATAATGCCGGAAGTAAGACCGGAGGTTTTGTATGACTTCGGCCGTGTTTGTACTCTTAGTGGCGTAAAGCTTTAAATATTTTGTAAACGCGTCAATGACCAAAAAAATATAACGCGCTCTAGCGGACGTCGATCGGGAAGCTGGGGATAAATGATCAATATGTAACGTAGCGAAGGGCACGGTACCCTTTGGTATACTATGCAGCACTCCCTCAGGCCGTCCCGAATTCGGTGTAAACGCAATACACTTTAAACAGCCTCGAATATGTTTATCGACTTTTGCCCTCATCTCTGGAAACCAATAATTACTTAATATATTTTTAACCGTTTTTTTCAGAACCAACGTGGCTCATCTCGTTGTGATACTTGTGAATGATACTAGACTCTAGTGCCGCGGGCACGTAAAACAATATTTTCCCTTTTTGCTTCCGGTATACTAATCCGTTTCTCATCTCGAAAAACTTATTCTCTGTGCGTTCTAATTCCGTTCGGACCTCTGAAATCAAGGGATCGTCGGTCTGACATAAGGAGAGATTTTTGTCAAATGAGTTATCCTCGACAACTAATATTTGTCGACTCAATGCGTCAACGTGTAACATACGCGAACCAGCCCTATGTTCCAACGCGTAATCGAAGTTTTGCATCTCCAGTACCCATCGCGTAATACGCGGATTAGTTTCCTTTTTTTTCAGCGTCAAACTCAGAGCCTGACAATCAGTAATTATTTTAAACTTAATTCCCAATAAGTATGTGCGGAATCGTCGAAGTGCATAAATGATCGCCAATGTTTCCAACTCGTAACTATGGTATCTTGACTCGACATCGGTCGTTCTCTTCGAAAAATAAAAAACGGGGTGTAACTTTCGGTCTGACTTCTTTTGCAATAAAATCGCACCAAATCCGATTGCGCTTGCATCGCAATGTAACTCGGTTTCGCTTAGCGGGGAATATATACTTACTATAGGAGCGTTCATTAAGCGGTTTTTTAGCGTCTCGAAAGCCTGGTTCTCGGCTTCTCCGAAGTGAAAATCAACGTTTTTCCTGGTAACATCATGTAATGGCTTCGCTATAATTGAGAAATTCTCCACAAATTTTCGGAAATAGGAACATAACCCTAAAAAACTCTGCACGTCCCGGAGGTTTCGCGGAATCGGGAAGTTCTTGACCGCCACAAGACCCTGGTCAGTCGGGCGAATGCCCTGGCTAGTAATAGTGTAACCTAGATAATCTAGTTTCGTCTGCAAAAATCGGCACTTATCGAGTCGTAGCTCTAATCGGTTCGCTACAAGTAACTCAAAAACTTTTCGCAATATCTGAAAATGATACTCGATAGTCTCAGTCGCAATGAGAAAGTCGTCTAGATAAACGGAAATATCCCCGGCATTAATCGTATCCTTAAAAACTTGAGTAACATATCGCTGAAACTTAAGGGGAGCGCCCTTAAGACCGAATGGCATTCTCACGTACTCGTACTGCCCAAGAGGAGTAACAAAAGAGGTATATTTAATCGACTCCTCGTGCATCTTTATGTGAAAAAACCCGTCTTTGAGATCGAGCGTAGTAAAGTACCTTTTACCCTCCAACAGATCCAACTGATCTTCGATTAGCGGAAGCGGAAAGTGATCGCGAGTAGTAATTTTATTGAGTGCCCGAAAATCTACACACATTCTCGTTTCACCATTCTTTTTCTTTGTCAACACGATGGGCGAAGCATACTCGGATGTGCTTTCCCTGATAATGCCTTTCGCAATCAATTCATCTAAAATTTCCCGTAATTTGCCTTTTTCGTAAAATGAGAGCTTACGCGGCTTGCAGTAAAATGGTTCGTTACTCGTAAGGGTAAGGGACATAATATTTTCGGTCGCCGGTTCCGACGGCCTCGGTGCGTCGAGATATCGTTTCTCTAATAATTCGCGCGCTCGCTGCTTCACCTCAAGCGGAAGATTATCGTTTACTTGCATATCACGCGTCGATACTCCTAGACAATCTTGGTCAACATCGATACTCATAATTTCGTTCACTTCTCGATCGTTACCTATCGACAGTCTTGCCTCCTTCATAAAATCGCGACCTAATATAACTGAGCTTTGCATCGTATCGTCGGGGACGACTCGTAACAAGATCGCGTATTTCTCATAATCATAGATAAGCGTCACATTCACACAACCAAATACTCTCAAACCGCTACCGTTTATACCGACAAATCGGTCAGATTCCGAATTAACAATCATAAGTTCTTGCGGGATATATTGCCTTCTGACAAACGAAATAGGACTGCCTGAATCAATCAACGCGTCGAGATTAATACTAACATTACCGTCCTTAGCATTCACTTGCAGTTCGACTTTTCGCCGGAAATCGTTGTCCTCCCTCTGCTCGCTCGTTACCCAGTGAACACCTTCCTTGGCGGAATTTTTGACGCCCTCGTTGGTAGAATCGCACTGAGCTGCCCGATGTCCTAATTTGCCGCACCTATAGCAAGATCCTCGTTCTCGCTTGGGCTTCGTGCATTTTGCCGCGACGTGACCGGCCTCGTTACAGTTGTAGCACTTGACCGTCCTTGCTTTCTCGGGCTTTTGCTCTCCATCCTGTGGCTTCTTCTGCGTCGGTGTAGATGGCTTACGGGGGGGCTCCCTTCGGCGACGGGACATCCGCGAACGCCATCAGCATCTCGTCCGTTGACTGGTAGCATTGCACCCGCGCTTGCGTGCGTAGTTCCTGGCTTGGAATGCCCTCGATGACGTAGCTAATTAACTCAGCCTCAGCAACTGGTACTCTGTTCGCGAGGATCACCTTATCGTGGAGGTAATCCGCGAAGGATTCGCCTGCGTTCCACATTCTTGCCTCAAGCTTCCGTCGTAATTTCAGTGGATCCACTCGTTGTCCGTACATTTGTTTTAATCCTTGGAGAAGGTCTTTGCAGCTTAGTTCGACGCAATCGATCCTCGAGTGAAACCATCTGAGCGCCTTGCCGGACAGCTTGCTACATATCAGCGCTTTCGCCTGATGCTCGCTCAGGTCGTATGAAGAAAGTAATTTCTCCACCTGCTTTTCCCATCGGTCGAAATCTAAATTGCCACCGTCGTACTCGCCAATCAGATCCTTCAGATCCTGCCATTTTCGTACATAGGCTCGGACAGGCACGTTCCCTCCTGGCTGTTGAGTTGTCCTTACCAGCTCGAGTTCTCTCCTCAAGAACTCGACCTCTCGCGCGGCTAAGTCCCTCTCCCTCCGTAGGAGATCGTTCTCTTGCACCGCCTTAACGACGCTCTGGGCACCTACTTCCCTCTGCGACTCGTCGTCCAGCACCTCGTCGGTCAGACCCAGTTCCTCAGCGTCGACTCCTGCCTCGCGTAATCGCTTCAGCAGTTCGCTCTTCGGTCCGGTTGTCGGCAGACCTCGTTCCTTCAGCTTCTCCTTCAGATCCGCGACCGTCAACGTAGTCATCTTAATACGCCGGTCGTTCTCGAAATAAAGTTGACAACTCCGTCAAATCCCAGAATCAGTATCGCTCACTCAGTATTCCTGGATCAGTATTCCTGAATCCCCGATCCCTGAATCCTGTATCCCTGGATTCCTGTATCCCTGGATTCCTGTATCCGTGTATCCCACTTCTGACTTTGTAGGGATGGCCGTGGGATGTGTAGCGTAAGGCGTTGCGTAAGAGCGGATAACCAATTTATTTGGGCACACATAAGTCATAACACATAAACTGACGACACGTAGACGTAACCGCGAACATAAAATACATCAGACAATAAAGGCGGAAAAGACGTCAACGTAAGTGGTCCGACCTCGACCAAGTATCGCTGCGGACTGACTTTTGGTCGCGAGAGCGCTCGCGACTCGTCACGGAAAACAAAAAAGTCTCTCGACCCGTCGGCGGCCTATGAGAAGGACCACCGATAACAAAACACTCGCACGGACGCACCTGGAAACCGCGCGACGCCAACAGGCAAACAAACGCCTTGCGCCGCTCTGTTATTCTCGAGTCTTCTCGAAACGCGGTTCCTTTGGAATCTCGCTACACATAGTTTGGGTAGGGTTATATCTTAACGAGGTGGAGCCCCCCCGCAAGGGGGGGGGGGCGGAACATACTGTTTCCACGGATGTACTTCCGTCGTTGTACTGAATAAATGAATTTATTATTGTATAAGTGTACTTTCTTCAAATTTAATATCACGCACGCCTCCATGCATGTACTTCCATGACGTACGACAGATGGAGATGGGAGGAGAGATATAAGATATAGAGTTCATCATTTTTTTCGAAAACTATTACTCGCACAGTAAAAATGAATAGGACATAAAATGTATATTTCAAAGAGATCTACAACTTTTGTTTAAAACATTTTTCAAAATTTTTAATATTTGTGTCTGAAAATTACATATAATTGATCGACATAGTTTTTTAAATAACTTTTTAACAAACAACGAGCGACGGCTAAAACCTTCTGAGCGTTACTCAGGAGGGTAACCTTGACAACATATGTCAAGGTCAAGGTCATCGGAGCTGACTCCCCTATAGTGAACATTTACCAAAAATTCTTGTATACAGATATATTCATACTTGTCGAAGAGATCGAGAAGGTTTGGAATGCCAGTGTAAATACACAGTAGTATATTTCGGTAAAGCCAAGTACAAGAAGATAAATATCTACGTGCGTTCGCGTTCGCATATACAATCAAGGTGATCCCTCGATCGAGAAGCCTCAGACTTCTCTTCCCTCTTCCGTGGGCATAATCGCGCATGCGTTGATCTCTCACAGTTGCCGTCTCCCCGCGCACAATTGCTATATTCTTTTCACTCCGCCTCAATTTGCGCAACAAAACAAAAAAAATTCCTCTACAAAAAATTAATACAAATCTAGTGTACCTTAAACAGTCTCTATACTTTATAAGTCACACTCAGTTTCTCACACATTGTTGTAAATTTATCTCCGCCTAACGCTTTAGTCATTATATCAGCTGTTTGATCGTTAGTTGGCACATATTGAACTTTAATCATATTAGTTTCTACTAATTCCTTTACAAAGTTGTATTTAATATCTATGTGTTTTAAACGTTTATGCTCCCAACGTTTCAAACGGTAAATCACATACTGATTGTCTTCAAAGATTAGAATTGGAGTCACATTCCCTCAACAAATTTAGCAACCAAAGATATTCATTTAAGCAATGAGCTTTTTTTTTACGTGTGGAAATCCTTTATGGATACCCAGGCCCCCCTCCGGGAAGGGAGTTTACATTAAGTGGCCCGGGTTATGTGGGACTGCCCCCCTAATGGCGATCGGGTGCGGCCGCTGACATTGCGACCGCTGGGCTTACCGCACTAAAACCACACGGTGGACTGCGCTGTGCTTTACTTGGGGGACGCCCAGGGCTTGGCAGAGCCATTACTTCTGGACGCCCCCCGCACCGGCCCGCCGTTTGATGGGCGGGCCGCTGTGCTCCCTCCCCCGTTGGTGTG